ACTCTGGTGTCACTGCCTCATTCTAGGCCTTCAGTACTGGAGTCATGGTTCCTACACCACCAGTTGTATCTGCATAGTTGTTCACTTACTAAAGACCTGTAGGTAAGTCAAGGCTAAAAGCTGGATCTGTTACTGTAGTTTTTTCCATCTTCTAGGGAAACTCTTGGTGAGTTTGAGAGCTCTTGATGTGTGAACTTTGGCTACTCACATCTAGTGTTTGGGCTGCTTTGCTGTCATCCTTCACCTGGCTGCTCCAATCTTATTTGATTTAACCTGGTTGTGTTTCAGTACTACTAGACAAGCTGTGCTGGATCAGGTTTGAGTTGAATAAAAGGAAAGACAGCTTATCCAAAAGAGTGGTTGGGCACTGGCACAGGCTGCCCAGGAGTCACTGTCCGTGGGGGTTTTCAAGAAATGTAGAGGTGTTACTTAAGGATGTGACTTAGTGGGCAGTATTGGCAGTGAGTAGATAGGTCATTTTAAAGGTCTTCTTCAACCTTTATGATTCTACTTCAGTCAAGAAGAGATGTTATGGAAGGAAGTATTTTCTGTTGCCACCAGCAACTCAGGCAGTAACCATTCAAGTTACTGGATGAGCCTCTTGAATTTACAAGGTGTGAACCATAGCACAGATTTCCTAAAGCTCTCCTGTGGTGACAGATATGTTGTAACACGGATTCACCTGTTCTAGCTGTGATCAGACTTAACTTCAGGGCCTCTGGGGTGCACAAATGATGATGTATGAGTTCACTAGAGACTACCTGATTAACGTGACAGATCACTTGTAAGGAGTGATACTGTACTTCTAATTTATACCTTGAGAAGGGAAGGAGTTTCTAAAAACAAATTATGAGGAATTTTCACTTCCCCTCCTCTCCTGCCCACACCATGGGGAAATATCTTTAATTGTGGCCTTCAGAAAAGCTGACTGTGTTCTTGTGGCAGGCACAGAGTTATGAAGAAGCGCCCTGTCACTGCTGCGGGGTGTGGTGCATTAGAGCTGGGGCTTTAAACATCCACTGAGCATGTAAATCTGCTGCTTCACAGTAGCTGCAATTCATCTGCAGGCAACATTAGAGTCCTGTTTTGTGAAGTTGCCTTGTCACCCAGCTCTTGCCCATCCCTGTGTACAACAGCTGCCTTCTCACATCATTAATAGTCTTCTGTGTGCATTAATGTGATTTATAGAGGGCTGAATGTCTTCAGAATGTGCAGAATGTGAGTGCTGTTATCTGACTGTGGCAATTCTGCCTTCTTCCAAGGAAAATAGCAGCCTGCCTTGACTTCTCAGGTCTTTCCTTTCACCAACAGCTGATTTACTCTGTGATGACTGAGTTGCAAATGATCCTTGTGGCAGATTTCATCTATGCTTGGTCATGATAAATGAGAAAATAAGATATCCTAGGAAGATCAGGATACTTGGACTTATAGCACAACTTTCTTTCACTGTTCAACTCTTACTTGTCTCAATCATGCTCTGATTTTGGAGACTGCCTCTGAGCTTGTGAATTTCAGAGCACAAGATCTAATAGCTGCTGGAGGAAGAGGTGGCTGCAGGTTGCTGTGAGTTTGGGCTGCAGTGCTGGCGGCTGGTATGTCTCTGCTGACTGCACCTAGGAATGTAACTGTGAGAGAATTCACACATTTTTCAAAGAAGCAATCCCAAGAAATCAATGAACTTATCATGCAGTGATTTGGATGAAAAACCAAACAGCCATCCCAACCCCAGCTAGTCCTTGTAGACTGATAAGGACAAAACCATGCCGTTTCCAGTTGGTTCTTCACAAAGCAACTCTGTCCTCTGATCCTCGGAGCACAAAATACCTTAGGAAGACAAAATCAAGGACTGATAACCATAACTCTACTGAATTCTAACTGTTGCGGACTCAGCAGAGAAATGGTCTCATAGGGCATGTAATTTTCCATATCCTCTGTGTCGAGCCAAATCCTTGTGGTCCTGCAGGCAATGATTACCTGCTGTGCCTTCTGTCTTGCAGAGGATAATCATCTCTTCACTTTCCTTTTTGCAACATCCTCTCTCCAACCACTTCTGTGTTTTTGAAGCAAATAGCTGGCATCACAGTGTGTGGGATGATAGGATCCTGTGGCATCATAATTACCACCCTCTGCTCCTTCATGCTTTAATCAAGACCCTCTGCTGGTAAACACTCCAGTCTCTTCTGTTGCACTGTAGTGGGTGCTTGTCCCTTTGAGATACTTCTTTAGAGCTCATGAAATTTACCTTTTTCTTTAGCTGATGGCAGCCCCTCTCTGCAAAATAACATGATATAGAGGAATTATGGAAAATACCTGAGGTTTTAGCTAGGATCCCTCAGCAGCCTGTGGTCAAGAAGCTTTCTTGCAGCTCATTTCCCAGTCAAAGAGCAGCATCTTCAATCTGCTCAGTTCCCCCTACCCTTCCTGGTATTTACCCCATTTTCACCAGCCTCTCCTTTCTGTCTGATCTCCTGCTTTTTTTGCTGAGAGCTACCCTTGTTCCTTATGAGTAAATCTCTGCGTGATTTAAGCTGATTTTCTGGGAGGGAACAAGCTAGCAAACAGTGGCTATGAAATAACCACAGATTTGCTTTGCTGCTGCTGGTTGCCAGGAGCCGACTTTGCTCTGATATTTGCTGGCTCCAAATCACAGCTTTCTGACCTGAGCAGTGGAGCAGAACCATTAGCCATATAAGTGCAAGGCAAGGGTTGTATTTTGGGTTATTTCAGATTATCAAATTCTCAATCTCTGGGTCTGGTATCATCACTGTTTTGTTAATTTAAAGTGAACTCTGGAAGCAGAAAGAAGCATTTCAACCCATCTCTTGCTTTTAAATTCCTTCCCAAAATGAGGTTAGGTCCCACCTCAAAGGGAGCATTGTAAAAATGGAGAAGGTGAAGGTAATAACTCTGAGACTCTGGAACAAGCTGCCCAGGGAGGTGGTGGGGTAGTCATCTCTGGAGATTTTTCAAGACATGTAGGTATGGCACTCAGTGACATTGTCTAGAGCACTTGCAGAAATGGGCTGATGGTTGTATTCGATGATCTTTGTGGTTTTTCCAACCTTTATGTTTCTGTGAAAATGCCTGTCTTGGCAGTTGGCTGTAACTGCTAGCGATGCTGTAGCTAGGACTTTGACCTTTTCAATTCGTGGAAAAGAAGGTTGAATGATGGAATCATAACTTGTAAGCATCTATTTTGGCTGCTGCATCAAATATAAGAACATCTAATGAGCTCCACTGGCATGGAACTCGCGTATCAGCAAACTCAGACTGAAAAGGAGCAGCAAGCTTTAATACACAGCCATTTAAACACTGTGGAAAAAAAAAAAAAAGTCTAATAGTGGGGTAGACTTGCAACTTTAAAGGAGATTTTGCTTTTCAAACATCTTGCAGACAGTGAGAATATCTGCATTAATTCTTAGGCAGATAAGCAAATTTGCCTTTTGAATCCAGTACGTAAAACTCATGTTAGAGACTTTGAGAATAGATGATAATGTCAGGAGTGTGTTCATCTGTAGATGAGAGCTGAAAATATCTATCTGTTGATGTAGTGAATAATGCTGCCTGCAGGACTGTAGTGACAGAGTGAACAATGAGAGTGGTGTGGCTAGAACTGGAGTATTTATTCCTATGGGAAGGCAGTGTTTAGTCCCTATGTTCACATTCATCAGAGCCCAGTGATGGCATCTGATTTCATATTGTAATCTTTTGTGCAGACTGGAAATTTGGAGAACAGATCTGCCAGCAACATTATTCAAATAATCCCTGCTGGGGACTTGTGCTTCTCTTCTGTTCTTTCCTGGTTTGGTTGTGCATTTTGAGATTTGTTTTGAAATGCACGCTGGTTGTCAAGCCAGAATTAAGGCTGACATTTGCCTGTGGGGTTTGTCTTCACTGCTGGGGCAGGATTGTACTCTGGTGAAATAAAATAAAAAAGAATAGTTGCACCTGTTTTGCTGAATTCAGCAGTCCCTGGTATTTCCCTGGTGAGAAGTGCTTCCCATTGTAAACACATTACAGGCTGTCTTTGAGAATCAGCAGGACTATGCAATACTAATCTTGACATTTCTGAAGTTCTGGCTGGTTCCCACCATTTGAGTCAAAGAGTAAAGAAAAACTGTGACTTCAGATGCTAGCAGCAAGCTGCACATCCATGGTCATTGCTGTTACGGCCTCTGTAGACTGGGATGAGAAGGTGACTGTTGTTATTTCCAGGTCCAGTCAAATTCAGTGCAATTAGATAGGAATACCAATGGAGGCCAGGAGGGAACTGAGCAGTCAATAAAAGCATGGGTCTGTGTCTGGGGCCAGGAGCTGTCAGCAGCCCATCAAGTGAGGAATGTGCTGTGGGGGAGGGATCTGGACCAAAAAGGTGTTACAACATCACCAGTCCTTAAATGCAGTTGGGAAATAAAACCATAAAATAACTTTACCTGTAGGCAAAGCAACAAATACTTCAACAGTTAACTATTGGGTAGCATGCCAGAGTTCTTCCTTTGACAATCTAAAGCACAGCTGTTGGGGATGTCAAGCACATTTAGACACACAGTCTAGTAGCCCTTAACATACTTACCCTTCTCTAACTGGCCATGTTTCTAAAGGTTTGTTTTTCCACTGTTTTCCCCAGGAGGCTGATTTCTTGACAGGATGCAACGTTGGTTAGCAATGACCCAATTAGAAATTTGAGCACCTCCACTGTTAATTTGGGAAGTAAACCTAATTAAAAGCAAATATTTGGATGCAGAAATAGGAATGGGATATGAGATTTGCGCTAGTATCTGTCTGCTCCTGATTTGTTCTTGCTTTAACAGAAAACCATTTAGGTCTGCAAAGATTGTGGGATCTCCTTTGGAAGGGAAATATCCCTCAGATTTCAATCTTTCACAATGTTCTGTGTGCAACTTCCACCATCTTGACTGTGATGTTGAAACGACTGAAGAGAAAGTCTATTGACAAAGGAATTGTTTTGGGAAAGAAATTACTCAGAAGTCAAGTATGAAGACCACAGCAATGCTGGTAAATCTATGGAGCTGGTAGATGCACCTCAGTGTGCTGGGGGAAGTCTGAGTTGTCATACTTCTGTGAGTAGGGGGCTGGTCTGCCTGGCAGGCAGTGATACTCTGAAGAGAAAACCAAAGAGCTGATTACTAGCTGTCCTAAAATCCAGTTAAATTCCTCTTGTAGATCAAAGGATCCTTTAAAGAGGGAGGAGCTGATTCCTCTAGAAATAACTCCTGCTCAGCACAGGGCTTTCATGTGAGTGGTGAGATCTGACTGCTGAGATATGGTACAAATGTGGTTGTTCTCTACTGCTTGGAGTTTTTCCTCAGTGGGAGGAGGCAATCTTTGACTTGCTCTGATGTGCACATGGGGCTCAGCCCTAGTGTGGGGAGCACAAGAAGCTTGAGTTAAAAGCGACTTAAGCCATCCCCACCTAAGTGTTGAAGGGTGCTCTGGGTGAGATTTGCATGCCAGAGCTCAAAAATGTGACCAGCAAGTCTAACAACCCTATTTATTCTACCCTGTTGATAGCTGTCTCCATACTATTAATTTTGAACATAGTTCATGGGAAACATAGCCCATGCTTTGTAAAATAGCTGATAGAAATGTGAAGGATCTCTAAGTTCTGCTTGTCAGTGCAGGAATCAGACCTTTACTATGATTTCTGTCCCGTAGGCAGACATGCATGGTTCATTAAAATTGAATATCCCGAATGAAGCAAAGGAAGTGATTCTCTTACTTTTGCTATTTTCCTTGCTCTCTCATGTAGAGCTGTTATTGGATTTGTTATGGAGCTTTTCATACAGGTGAAAGAACAGGAGAAATTAAATGATGGTGAAATACAGGTGTGTCTACAACTAACTTGATCTAAGTCCATAAAAACCCATTTGGGGAGGTGTGTGAATGGTCAGAGCTGTTTCATTCTACACACTACAGAGCCAGTGTGTCCTAAGGATGGAAACTTCCTTTCTTCCCACTCACAGAAAACATATACCTGTATTTCTTATGAAAGAGTTGATACATGGTTTAGCTTTAAAGATCACCTGTTATGACTTCCTTTGACTGCTGTCTGAGTGTTGTGTAAGTGTTAGTGAGGTTTTGCATCATCAGTCTCTGCACTTTAAGCTAGTATTTCTAGATACATCTTCCAAAATGGTGCTGGATGATGCTGTGAAATCTGTTGTCCTTTTGGGACACAAAACTATGGACAAGAAGCTGGTCACCTGTGACAGAGAGCAGCCTCTTGTCACTCTGTTCCATCTTGATTCATAGTGCTGAATTTGTGTGTGCCCCATCTCATCCTTTTACCTGGCACTGCTTCAGTTTCAGAGGTGGCAATGATGGGGACAAACTTATCCAACACAGCTGTTGCACTGTGTTTTGTTTTGGGGTGACGCATCATCTGATCTGGCAGTAAGCAGAGTCCTGCCTTCAGCACAGGGACAATCTTTCCAAGTGAAGCCAACCACTGTCAAAAGAGGAATAGTTTACATAAATATGAAACCTGACTACTGATAGTGCCATTTTGGGTGAAGAGAAGAAAGGAGTGATGAGTTCTGGGCCATCAAGAAGGCTTGTTCCCAGCTGCCTTTAATTCAGGCAATTAAAAAAGCAGCCAAACAAACTAGATATTATCCCAAATAGCACAGTATCTCCTAAGTCATCTTTTTCTCCCTGCAGCATGCAGATGTGTATGTTGTGTGGAAGAAAAAAAAGCACACCTATCCATGCCTGTAGAAATTCTGATGCTAGGCTGCTTATAATTTGGGCCAATTAAACAACATCCGTCTTCTTCAGGTTCTTCAATATATGAGGCAAAGAACTAGATGAATGTATGTTTGAAGTTGGCAGTGCCCAGTGCAGCAAAGCTTGGTCTGGTCGTCCTTCTCTAGCAAGATCTTCTCTCACATGACAGTAGATGCTCCCCTCACGCTGTCTCGCTGCTTCTCCTCCTCCAGTCTCTCCGACATATGCCAGAGCTGAACAGCTGACACTCATCCTTGTACTTGACTGTGGGTTAATTTTTGAGAGTTCATGGATGTTCTCTTGACTTAAAGCAGTAGATGTTCCATGAGCAGATGAGACTGTGCAGCATTTTTCTCCTCACATTCATTTATAGTGATAATTAACATGTTAGCACCTTTTGTGGAGCTGATGCTTGTTTCAGATAAAATTTGTGAGTAGGTTGCATTATCTTGATTGACCTCTCAGCACAGATTGCAAATTGAATGGTCAGGTGCCTCTGCACAAATACAGGAAGGGAATGATAATGCAGTGCAAACTCACCCTGCTCTATCATACAGCGTAGAATCATTTGAGTTGGAAAGAACCTTTAAAGGCTATCTAGTCCAACTCCTCTTGCCATGAGCAGGGACAGCTGTGGCTAGATCAGGATGCTCAGAGCCTGGTCCAGCCTGCATCGTCTCCACCAGATCTGTGTTCCTTGATGAGATTGGTGCCCAGAGATTGCATGTCTGTACTCAATTCCATTGATACCACTCATACTAAGAAACCATGTTCTCACTTACTGGCATGGAAGTCCCACAGCTTTGGCAAGCTGATTAAAGGTTCTCTGTTGCTGAAGCACAAGAAAAAAGCAAAAACCCAGAATCAGTATGACCTTCTTTTGTCTATTAAGGGCCCCTGCAGCAGACTTTATTTCTCACCCTGCTCAATATTTTCTGCAGGGAGAGCTGACACAAGTTGGCAGGGACAGAAGCAGCCTCTCCTTGTTCCTTATCCAACCAGAGCATGCACTAATTCAGAGGCTCTTTGACAAAGTGAACCAAGATCAGACCACAGCAGAACCTTGGTGCTGTCTTGTATTCCTCCTTGCTTGGCCCTTATGGAGTAAGTCCATCCCCACAGTGAGTTCCCATAGTGAGCAGTGTGCATGATGCATGCGTGAGTGCCTGTGGTTTAATGGATGACTGCACAGGGATGCTCCCTGTGTGATTACATGGATGTACCCAATGCCTACCAAAACTGGAGGAAAAAAAAAAAAAACCTCCAGAAAAGTGTAAGTCCTCTCAAGAAATCCAAAGACAGGCACAGAGAGATTACAGAGAGGGAGGTGAGACTGCTGACTGCCAACAGTTAGATTCAGCAGGATAGAAGGTGTTGTATGGCAAAGCGACAGGGAGCTGCTCACCTAATGGAAATTCCAGCCGTGTATTTGTAGCTGAAAATAGTGTTCAAAGGGGATATGAATATGAACAAATGGTGTGGCTGTCCCACTTCTGCACGTGAGTTTCCTGCTAGTGGGTTCACAGTGGGGCCAGAGCAGGACCCAACATTCCTATAACACCTATCATTGAACAGTGTTTGAGAAGGAGCTCCAGCTCAATGTGATGGTAGCAATGCCAGACTGGTGTGATCAGCCTTCCAGGGAGGAGGAGGAAGGGTGCAACACTGTGGCACGCGCTCACCTATATTGCAGAGCAGGGCCTCGTGGTTCCACCTAGCCTGTCCAGTTGCATGGAAGAAGAGTCCTCATCCTGATGTCAGCACATTAATTTGTGTCACGCATCTTCAGTGTTTCTTATCTCTTACCAGTCAACCTCAGAAAGGCTTTCAGAAGTTTTGTATTTGAGCAGTTTCAAAGAATAGTGCTTTTCGGTCTTTTGGGCGGAAGCTTCATGACAGTAACGGTTTTATTGTGAAAATATTCACGTGTAGTCTGTGGAGGAGATTTCCTGAGATTCCCTCTGAGGAAGCAGAATGGAGGTGGACAGACAAAAATCACCTTTAGGAAAGCAACTGACCAGTAGAAATGTCTTTCAACTGGAGGAGGAATGAGGTGTTTTCTCTGACAGTGCTGAGCTGAAGCAGTTCTTTGCCTTCAGCATCCACTGACAGCCCAGGCGAAGCTTGCAAAAGCATCTCCAGAACCTACAATGCTCTTTGAAGTGAAGCGAACGAAATATGCAGACGCACGTCCAACATGGGTGTTTCATCGCCGGTCCCGGGACCATCCCACCCCGTCCCAGTCCGGGGGCCGAGCTCCGCTTCCACACGTGTCCCCACCTGTGGCACCAGCCGTGGCACATCTGGGCTGCGCACCCTCTCCCTCCCGGAGCGGAACAGCTGTCTCCATAGCGACGGGGAGCGGCGGGGGGGCCTCGGTGCCGCCGCCCCGCCCCGCCGTACCGAGCCGCCGCGGAGCCGAGCGGAGCCGGCGCGGCTCCGCGGAGGGCAGCGGCAGCGCGGGGCTATGGGGACGGCAGCGGGGCCGTGAGCGCGGCCGGAGCGCCGCCCCTTCCCCGGTACCACCGCAGCTCCACGGGAGAGACCCCGCGCGGTGCCGCCCGGCTCGGCTCGGTTCGGATGCGGCCATGGGCAGCCGCTTCTCCAGAATCCCCGCGCTGCCCCGCGGCGGGCAGGGCCGGCTGCACCGTGCCCGTCACCACCACCTCAAAGGTACGGCACCCCGTTGCGCCCCGAGGTGGGATGGGCACCCGGGCAAGACGGCAACCCTGCGCCGTGAGGGGACCCCAGTTTGGGATGAGCACCCAGAGCGCTACTGCGGGGTGGGATGCCCTATGCCTGGCACTCTACATGCGGATGCCCTTCGTTTGCGGCCGCGCCCCAGGAAGGCACGGGGACAGCGTGTTGGAGGTGACGGAGCACCGAAGTGTCCCCAGGTGTCTCCTTGCGAACGATTCCTTTGCCTTTGTATCTTTTCTGAGTGCTTCAGAGATCTAGCTGTGTGGTGTGGGCTGTCAGTCCCGTTTGCAGGAGGGCAGGGGATGTATGGGGCATCCTGCCCAGCTTCTGTGGTTGTCCCTTTGCCGAAATCCTGGAGCGCCATCAGGACACAATCAGATGGAGCTGACTTCTGTAAGGCGAGCAAGTGGGAGAAGACTGCCGAGGTCTTCTGTCCCTGCCCTTTTTTGCCCCTTTTTGCTCTAACAGAAAATAACCTGTCCTTCTGGAAGAGAATTTCTTGGGCAGCACTGCACGCTGCATGTGGTTGATGTGACCTTTTGTTAAGCACATTAATACAGAGAGGCACAGGATGATGGGAAGAGGATGTAAGCAAAGAGTAAGGCAGGTGCTGTTCCTACAGCTGTTACAGATGGTCAATACTTGTTGCATCTTCCATGATGTTGTGGGATTTTCACCCACCAGTATGGGAAATAGGGATGTTCTCCCTCATTTGTACTGAGCTTTTGTATGCTTCTTTGGTATGGTTGAGGGGAGTGGAATGGGTTAATGATGAGCTGGGCAACTGGTTGCCATACAGAGGGATTCTCTGGTTATCCTTTCCTTCCACCTCTCTGCTCCCTTCCTCTGTGCTTGGATGGTATAGAGAAGTTGAATGTGCTGAGGGTGATTATACCACAGCTTTCTTAATGGCTGTGCGAGGAGATGTGAGGAATGCTTACTGTTCTGCCACAGACAGTAGCTGTACTTAGAATTAAACCTGCAAGGAGAGGGTACTGAACTCTACATGGTGAACCTTCATCCCCTGTCAATGCAAACCGGGAGGTACATGCGATGCTGTAGTAGCTGGTGTGCAATTGTAAAGTGCCAGGGAGGATTTATCTCTATGAATCGTGCTGTCAGCTGGAAGTCTTTCTGGAGCAACCTTAAGCAGATAAGAATTTATAAACTGGAGCCAGAAGGAGCACTGCCACTTAATCCATTATCAGTGGCTTACGTGAGCTTTCTGAGATGCTCTGTATGGATCACCTGACTAGGGGTCTGTGGGGGGGGGGGGGGGGGGGTAACTAATGGCACTTTTGTTTGTCTTGTTCTTCCTTTAATTTCCATTTTAATTAAATTCCTACATGTGCCAAGGCAGCAAGTAGGAATGTTCCCTATCTGTAATGTAGCAGAACAGTAAAATCATTTTAGTTTTGAATAAAGAGTAAGATGCCTTTGTTGTAAAAAAAATCAAGCAACTGCCAGGGACAATATGTGCCTTTTCTGTCTTTTTTTAAAACCAAAATGCCTCAGGTTCTACATTTAAATGCAGAATAAACAAGTCTGATTGGATCTGACAGGTTCCTGTAAAATGGTCTGGAGGCAGAGCAGCGAAAGTACAATGTCACACAGTGGTGTTACAAATCTGCCATTTAACGTTTGGTAATGTGCATTTTAATTGAAGGTCCCTGGTTCTGCCTGGATGCCTGGCTCTGCAAGGGGCACAGAGCTTTGTAATGCGGTCACAGAGCACTCTCCCACTCAGTGCCAGGGCTGATAGGCTTTTTCTTGCTGAAAAAGCTGCACTATGGTGATCTGGGGGCTGTGAAGTCAGCTTCTGCCTTACAAGCTCATCTCTGCTGTGTAAGAAGATCACCATGTTGAATAGATCTGCTTCCTACATACACTGAAAGTTTTTGTTTTCTTTCCTGCTTGTCCTGCTTAAAAATGTTTCTCTTTAATTGAGCAGGTCTTCTGAAGGCCACGTGATGCTTTTGGTGGTACTAAAGGTGTAACACAGAAATAAAATCTGGAGCTCCAAGCTGATTGTTTTAGAGCTGCTTTCAGAGCTGGGTAGTGCTTAAAATGGGATCTGCCCAGATGTATATGGAGGGGCTTTGAGTTGCTGTTCAAAAGAAATTGCTAGTTGCAAGGATTTTAGGACCTCTCCCAAAGTGCTGTTACCCTCAGTGCTGTTTTCACCGTTGTGCCTGCAGGATTTAATCAGAGAATCACAGAGTGGTTGGGTTGGAAGGGACCTTAAACCCACCCAATTCCAAGCCCCCTGCCATGGGCTGGGTGCCACCCACCAGGTCGGGACCCCAGGTGGCCTTGGGTGGCTACAGGGATGCGAGGCCAGTGTGGAGACAGTGAAAACTGAAGTCAGTTGAAACAAGAGACATCCAGGACTTCAGCTGTTCAGATGCCACAGCCCTGATTAGGTGTTAACCTTAAAGTTAACAGCCAGTGGCTGGAAGGAGGTCCTCATTTGATGGTATAATGATGAGACTAAAGTGACGTTACTGTCAGCATTCCTGTGAATTCTTCACTTCCCATAATGCAGATGTAGCTTGGGGTGATAGAAGGTGACCCATTGTTTCCCTTTTAATGAACAAGAAATGGTGATTGTCTGATAATGATCTCCTTTTGATGTAGACTGATAACTCCAGCAAATATTTGCTCTCCACCCTCCCTGAAGCATTGTTTGTGACTGCCACCAAACAAGGTGTGTGCAGCTGTTTGGTGTGGAACGCAGTGTGGACTGCATACCCTCTCTGGGCTGTGGTGCTGCTGTTCCAGGATGCTAGGAATGATTTTTGCTGGTTGTTGGGTTAGAGGTGAGGTGTGGGACCTCAATTCCACCTCCTTGGCTCTGTGGGGAAGTGGCTTTATATCCTCACTTGTCCTTCATGTCCTCAGTTGTAAGGCTTAGCCAGTTCTGTGGACCACAGATCAGTATTACATTGTAGAAGCTAAGAGGCATTACTGTCTCCTCTCTTCAGCCTGCCAGGCAGGTTTGCTGCTCTTTCCTGATCCTCCTCTTGCCTCAGAAGGCTGCGCTCCATGGTGAGTGACAGCCTGCGGGATTTCTTCCCATCATTTTTCTTTCTCATGGGTTAATGCACCTGTGATATTTATGGTAAAGAATGCATGCACTACAGTTGAGACAGCCCGAGGTAGTCAGAGACACTCTTCTCA